TTTTTTTTTTTATAATTCTCTGTTTAAAAAATTTAGAATGAATATATTATTTCATAATTTGTTTAAAAATGATGGTTTTAGGGGTCAGCACTGTGGTGCAGTGGGTTAAAGCCCTGGCTTGAAGTGCCAGCATCCCATACGGGTGCTGCTTCTAGTAACGGCTACTCCTCTTCCCACACAGCTCTCTGCTACGGCCTAAGAAAGCAGTGGAAGGTGGCCTAAGTCTCGGGCCTCTGGACCCACGTGGGAAACCCGGAAGATGCTCCTGGCTCCTGACTTTGAATTGGCTCAGCTCTGGCCATTGCAGCCATCTAGGGAGTGGACCAGTGGATAGAAGACCTCTTTCTTTCTCTACCTCTCTCTGTAACTCTGTCTTTCAAATAAATAAATAAAATAAATCTTTAGAAAATGATAGTTTTAAAAGTACAATGCCAAGGTCTTATGGAAAATTTCCAAGTTACTGCTGCCATTGCATGGAGCACTGACAGAGTCTTGCACATTCTTTGCACTGCTTATGCCTTTAGCGTTTCATGAGCCATTCCTTTAGAGAGCTCACGTGCAAATACTATTTATTTCATTCTTATTATTCTTTAACATCTCTAAAGCACAGCCTAAGTGCTAGTTAATCGGTCAGCCAAATAGTGGAGTCCCTTTTAAGAAATTGAAAACATACCTCTAGAGAATATACTGGGCATCACAATATTATTATGTAATTTGTTCTATAATTTTAGTAATTGCTATCTCAGAATACTAAGCATATTACATCTAAAATAGGATTTACTTCCTTTGAGCCCAGCTAATTACTTTGCGTTATAGGTTGTTTAATTCTTGATCAATAAATTACAAAATTCTAGACAAGCCCTTATAAAATACTGTCTGATTAACCATGTTTGTAAAATTTCAGGGTGAAGGATTACATGCACCTTCAAATCTATGTTTCACAGTGTTCATGCTTTTATTATTGTCTTCTCACGTGCTATATATTCACTAAGCTATTACTGAACAACGTGCAATGTCTAAACTAAAACTCCACGCCATAAAATAGCATTATACATTATGCCATAATGCTGGAATTTTATGCCCCCATAAAATTGTTTTAGGAAATGATTTTTGGGTCCAAGCTTTAGGCCTTTTTCCCTTGAGCACATCTCATTTTTAAAGCAGTTTAGCTGGCATTTATTTTTCTTAAAAATCAAACACCATGAAACATGATAGAATATTGATCACTAACACTTACTGTTTTCAGAATCCATTATCTCTGTTATGACAGAGAACTGCATGGTTTGCTAGCTCATGATTCACGGGAAAATTTCAGCAGAGGTCTCCCGCAGTGCACAAGATGGCATCGAAGGCCCAGAGAAGTCCTTGGAGCCCTCTCTGAACCCCAGCTCTTCTTTGCTTAGAGGATGACTTTAGAGTCAAGGTTTTGGCCTGCTCCTAAATACAAACAGCTGTGATGACTAGCAATAACTTTCTTAACCTTCTTTCTCCACATACGACAGTGACATTTTACATTCATGAACTGGAATTTATTTATGATATTTGGAGATTTCCCTGAAGCTGTTGAGGAGAATAAAAAGCATCAAGCAAACAAAATGATAAATCACACAAATCATGTGTTGGTATATTATTAATGCTAGCTTTAACCCAAACAACTCCTCCTCGAAGAGCTCAAAGGGTACAACAAAACAAGGGGAAAACTTGGTATCTTTATAAGAAAAAAAATTAAAGACTATCTTGTTTTTCTCTAAATTTCTAATTAACAAATAATATACATAAGGATAGACCAGAAATATATGCTCCATATATTACTGAAAAAAAAAGCAAGAATATACTTTACAATTTAAGTCTTCTTAAAAATTGAAGAGAGGTGAGATTTCATGAAAATTGACTTTTGTAGTTCAAAGTATACCATTGATAAAATGAAAAAATGACTTATGGAACTGGGGAAAATATTTGTGAATCATATACCCAACAACTTGATTGCATCTAGAATTTTTTTAGTTTTACTTATTTCTCAGTTGGTGGAAAAAATAAGTGGACAGTGAGAGAGAGAGACAGAGAGAAGGTCTTCCTTTGCCGTTGGTTCACCCTCCAATGGCCGCCGCGGCCGGCGCGCTGCGGCCGGCGCACCGCGCTGATCCGATGGCAGGAGCCAGGAGCCAGGTGCTTTTCCTGGTCTCCCATGGGGTGCAGGGCCCAAGCACCTGGGCCATCCTCCACTGCACTCCCTGGCCACAGCAGAGGGCTGGCCTGGAAGAGGGGCAACCGGGACAGAATCCGGCGCCCCGACCGGGACTAGAACCCGGTGTGCCGGCGCCGCTAGGCGGAGGATTAGCCTAGTGAGCCGCGGCGCCGGCCTGCATCTAGAATTTATAATGTACAATGAATCTTAAAATTCAATTATAAAATAACCAACAGCCCAACTAAAAACTAAAATTTTTAGCCCAACTAAAAATTGAGCAAAGGATCTGAGTAGACATCTCTCCAAAATATGCATACATTTCCAATAAATACATGAAAAGATGCTTAATATTGTTAGCCCTCAGGGACAAGAAAATCAAAACAGTACCCACTAGGATGACTATAATAATAAAAAAGTCAGATAATAGCTGGTATAGGAAAGGATGTGGAGTAACTGCAAGGTTTTATGCCATTGGTGGGAATGTAACATGGTAAAACCACTTCCGAAAGCTGTCTGGCAGTACCACCAAAGAAGAATAACAGAGTTATTATGAGACCCAGCACTTCTCCTAGGTACAACTCAGGGAAATGAAACCAGGAGTAGGCGTTGTGGCACAGCAGATTCAAACACTGCTGGATGCCTGCATCCCATATCAGAGTGTCTGGATTGAGTCCTGCCTCCACTTCTGATTCAGCTTTCTGCTGATGCTCCTGGAAGGCAGTGGACAATGGCCTAATTGCTTGGATTCCTGCCACTCATGTGGGAGACCCAGATGGAGTTCCTGATTCCAGGGTTTAGCCTGGCCTGTCCCTGACTGTTGCAGGAAGTGAGGAATGAACCAGCGGATGGATGATCTCTCTTTTTGCCTTGCCCTCATTCTCTGTTGCTCTATCTTTCAAAAACAGAAGTGTTAAAAATTAGTAAATAACAATGTTTTAAAAAGAAAAATAAAAACATGTCTGCACAAAACAAACATGGGAATAAATGTTCTTACTATTATTATTCATAAAAACCAAAAAATAGAAACCCTTCATATGTCCTTCAACTGATGAATGCATAAAATATATCCATACAATACATTTTAATTTACTTGTATTAGGGAATGGAATACTGATACATACTACACCATGGATGACACTTGAAAACATGCTAAATGAAAGCAGCCAGTAACTGAAGACTGAGTTGTGTCACTGCCTTCACATAGAATGTCTAGCATATACAAATCTATTGAGACAAAAAATAGATTAGTGGAAGTCTAGAGCTAGGGAGATTGGGAGAAAAGGGAGGGTGGCCACACACACACACACACACACACACGGTTTCTTCTTTGAGATGATGAAAGTATATTAAATTATATTTGGTATAAAGTGTTACATGCCATATAAAGCACTGGAAGACAGGATCTGGAAGGGTCTGATCAGAAAGAAAATATAAGAAAATGGAAAGCTAGTTGCCTGTTTTGATCAGCTTATGGTACGTATGATTTCTTATTTATATAAAGGGAACAAATTTCATGTATTTCATATGTGCAATTTTGTAAGAGCATAATAGTACTTCTTACCCTACCCTCCCTCCCTCCATTACTCCTTCTTCCTATCTTGTTTTTCTTTTTAATTTTTATAATTACATACTTTCAATTTACTTTATAGTTGCAAGCTTAACCAACCACTAAATAATGAAATCAACAAGTAGTAAATAGGAAAACCACTGTTCCTCAAAAGTATATACAAGGGCTATGAAGAATAGTCAGATCTCAAAATGCCAATTTTTCTCATATACACTACTTTTTTATATTCTGTTTATTATATACCCCAAATCAGAGAAAACGTGATACTTGTCTTTTTGGGATTGGCTTATTTCACTAAGTACAACGGTCTCCAATTGTTGTGAAAGGCAGGATTTATTCTGTTTACAGCTAAGTAGTACTCCATAGTGTATATATACCACAATTTCTTTATCCAGTCATCAGTTGATGGACATCTAGGTTCATTCCATATCTTAGTTATTGTGAGTTATGATGTGTATTTTTTGAAATACTTAACTGTCCTCCATAAAATGTAGAAAAATTACATATTAATAAATAAATTTTAAAAATAATAGAAACCTATTGTGATAGTTGTCTATTTCTGTGACTATACTAAAAGTTTTTAAATCATGCACTTTTAATGAATGAATTAAGTGAGGTATGAATTATATCTTAGTAAAGCTGTAAATAAAGAGAAGTTAAAGGAAATGCTCTTGGTTTTGCCAAAAGTGATTCCCTGTTCTACTAAAAATAAAATAGTCCCACCATTCCTCTCATATTCTCCTTACTGATAAAAACTGTAGCTATAATTCAGCAACAAGCAGAGGAGTGCTCTGAACAGTGGACATAAGAAGGCAGGAAACCTACAGATCACAGGACTGGAAGAGAGAAGTGGTGGTGAGTTCTCCAGTTTTCCTTATTGTCTTCCAATATGTCTGATACATAGCACTACAGGAGTCTCCCACATGGACTGGCAACACACACTTACAGACAAAAAAAAAGGTGAAGAAAATATTTGCTCTTTAGGCAAAGGATCAAATATATGGGGTCTAACAGCAAAAAACCTGTCTAACAATACCTGCCCTACTCCAGCCAAACACCTTTGGAAAAGTCATTTCCCGCCCCCCACCCACACTGCCTTCTCTTTCAGCTGTACCCAGCGGAAGTTAATTTTTTCACCACCCCTCCCATTATCTGCCCCAAGGAAGAAGGCAGCATACTGTGAATCCCACATTGTGCTGGTAGGACCCAATTGGGAGTTGTTTTTCCATCTCTTGCCCAGCAGAGGCAGACAGAAGTTATTTGATTTCCCTGCTGATGCATTATCAGCAGAATGGAGGGAGGGAGCTGGTGTTCCATACCCTACCTGGCAGAAGCAGGCAATCCTCTGATTGTTCTGCCAGAGCAGAATTGAAGAGGCTGTGGGAAATGGATCATGTTTTCTCACATGGTGGAAGCATATTATGCACAGATTCCCCCTGTCAAGTTAACGTTGAGAGCATCTAGTGCTGAGCTGAACCCCCAGACCCCGCTCTGCAGAGATAAGCCTTATAGTGCAGTGCAAGATGAGGCTACTTGGCATGAAACTAAGCTTCAGCACCTGCCATGATATGCCAGCAAGACCTTCTAGGGAGCAGAGATGATAGTCCTACCTGGAATTAGGAGGTAGAAAGATTTGGTGGGAGGTAGAGTAGTTGAGACCCTGCTTTGCCATCTCCT